AACCTTAATGATTCTATGATTCTAACTACTTCTTATGCATACAGTCCCATAATAGTAATGATAAAGTGAAAAAAAAACTTTAAAGGTGATTATTCACATGTCCATTTTTATATACTACATAAAAAGGGAAGTTCAAGTATAGAAAATTTCAGAACTCTGAACACAAATAGGACTATGAACAATATATATACATGAGGGTCTCTTAACGTCTCCACTGAAGAAATCAAAACATGGGTCAATGCATAACTCAGTCTTCAATAAGACATTTTAGATCATCAGAGCTCCTGGAGCAGAGATGCATTGTATTATTGGTGATTTTCTCAGATTACAATTTATAAGAACATTGCACTATATCTTCATGTGTTATCTATAAGGGATTAAAAAAAATGTAATCAATAGCTGGAAAAGCATCAAAGAACCATGGCAAAAATGAAAATTAATTCTGTAGCTGAGTGTTAATTCCAAAGTTTAGAAGTGGAGTGAGAATTTCAAATTTCCTAGCAAAACTTTTAAGTTTTGTTTCTGCAGGGGATTTTTTAGTACTGAATGTACCTGGAAAAAAGAGTTTATGAATGGCATTCATGTAAACTAAATAATAAAGCAGCTTTTGAAACAGTGGATGAATTTGTGCAGGTCAGGAGACTGAAAAACCAGAAAAGGTCTTTCAGCTCAGATGGAGAAAAAAGGTGCGGTGCAGATGAGAGAGAAAGATGTCAGACATCTATTCCTAAAAGGCATGAAATGCTGAAAGAAAATGCTATAAGGAAACTGAGACAAAGCTACAAAGAGAGCACTAAGCAGTGACATAGACTGTGGTAAGTCTATGGAGAATTTAACAAAATGGGTATTTCAGTTTTTTAACTGGGCTGTAATGTGGCTGAGGACTCAAGGCACCTAGCTCCAGGACAAGAGAGCAGCTCTCTACTTGCAAAAAGGAGCAGAGTACAGGTTCAAAAGACATAAAGGACTGAAAAGGTTCTACAGTATTAAACAAAAATTAAAAAATACTTCTCCTTAATAACACCCATAGAGCAAATTACAAATAACGCGATTTGGAACCATGTTTATGAAATAGCGTACCATGAAGTGACCATGATTTTTAATTAAGTTGCCATGATGTATTCACAGTACTTCATTGTTGTGATGATGCATCACTGTAATGCTACAAGATACTCTCATTTTCGGGACATTCTGCCATACATCATACGCCTACTGCTACTTTTGATGTTTTCACAGTATGAACTCACAAAATCACACTCCTATGCATCACAGTCTTGAGACAATCTATGTTAAAAGGATGTTACCTTTTGTTAGTTTAACTCTTCGTTGTTTGTATGTTCAACTTGTTTATATAAATTTACTAAACAGTTAAAAATCACCTGAAATTTACATGGCCCATAATGACTCTAAAATAGCCAACACACTAAGCTCATCTTGTTCTAAGATCTGTGTCTGCAATTAAGGTTTTTTAGATTACCAAATTCTGAGAGTCGCAAAGGATTAGCTTGTTCTGTACTCCCACTGGATAAAACAAGATTCTAGATTTTAAAAATGGAAAAAGAAAAGAACTGTTTATATTTGGGAAGTGTCCACCTTACCTCCTTATCCTATAGTTATGTTCACAAGTGAATGATTTCATTCAGTGAGGTTATTCATGTGAGTTATGATGTTACCTAAATGTTTGCAAGATCTGGACCTTATAGTATTTCATTCTGATATTTTCCAATTTAGCTTTTGACTTTTCACTTCAAAGTAGTGTATTTCCTTTTAAACCATGACTTTGGCTGTACGTGTACCGACACATGCTTTACCCATACAGACAGCTGTAACTTAATTTTACTCCTTAGGTTTTTCTTATTCCTGGTTTCTTGTTGCTTTTGATTTTTCCTGATGGTTTTATTGTAGCTATGTGTCCACACTGAAAGTGATTCTGTGTATCTAAACTGTCAACTTCACATTTCCTTCAGATCAAATACAACATATTTATGTATTACAATATTAAAAAAAACTTAAAACACAGGTGGTATTGTATGAAGATAACTTAAAAATGGCATTTAAGTTTCAGCTTATATGAAAACAAGCTCAGAGAAATCTTTCAATGTTCCGCCTTTTCAAACAAATGTTTTCTGGTGCTTGGCAACTTTTCAGTCTTTTCAGACTTTCCTGCTTTATTCAGTCTTTTTATGCTACATGCAAAAATGTGACAGTAGGAGCGACATGCAAGGACGGAGGAGAGAATATGCCTTTATCAAGAAGCTTATTTTAGATACTGACACTACCCAATTCCCAATATCACACTTCAGCATTATCAGTAAAGATGCAACATACTGTACATTTAATTTTAATATTTTGTTTGGTATTGAACAGTAGTACTCTGAAAATTATTACCACACATAAAATATTTATTTTTACTTCCCAGAGACAAAAGCATCAGAACATGTGGCATTACATTACAAAGCTGTGCTCACTGCAGCATAGTCACCTGTTTTTTCAAGTACTGCCTCACCATCTGAGCTCTTCATGCAGCAGCTACCTAGGACAACTTCCTTACTCCACGGTGTGTGCTACACAGCCTGGGTCTTCAGTCATGCCAAAACCCATCTCATTCATTCACTAACTAGCTTCAGACATGCTCATCTCAGTGAATTTGTGACGGTTTTGCAATTGTTTCTTTTGGGCAGACAAAATTGGAGCATCTGATTAAACTTGTGAAAATTTTCATGGATATTAATGCCCTGCAGTTGCCAAAAACTTGACTGCAGGCTGTAGATTCAGATAACTTGAATACAAGATAATAAAAAAAAAAAAAATCAGGAGTATAAGTATACGAAACAGAGAAAACTTATTTCTAAATGCTAGGTCCCATAAAAACTCCAAGTTACAGAACGACTTGATAGAAGCTCATTTATGACAGCACTGCTCTAAGCTGAAGGGATGATATCAGTCATTGCTCTCAGTACCTCTTTCTCCAGATGGTCTTGGCCCCTTTGCCAAGGGCATTGTATATTTGGTATCCATTGCCATATTTTATTTTACTGGATTAGCAAGTACATTTGCTGGGATCATGCCTGTCACCTGTGGGGTTCTTAGGAAATTTGGGTACCAGGTGTTCTTCAGATATCAGGGTTGAAACAGGAGAGCTATACTACTAGGAGCAAATAGCCTACAGGTGGGCTAAGTGTTCTGGGAGGCCATATCCAATGTCCGAGAGAGGCTTCCTCTCCTTCCAGCCAGGAATCTCAGCCCAAGTTTAAAGAAGGATTTCATGTTTGGTATACTGACCTTTTCACACCGCTGGGCCGTTTCTCTACACAGTTGTACTTCCTGTATGACAATCCTTTCTCAAGTTTACACAAAGGCAAAGAAGAATTGCCATTTTCATGCCAGTTACCTCACCCCTTGAGGATCCAGGTGCCTACTTCCCTTCCTGAACATCTAAAATCAGCCAGATAAACATTTCTGTCCTCATCATTCATATCTTCAAAGGAGCAGCTCTCAAGGGCAATCACTTGTAATTCTGTATGCAGCTGCTACAATAAAATGTGTATTCTTAATCAGCTGCATTTCATGTGTAAAAATTGCCACCATGGATTTGTTGCAGCTACACATTCAGCCACAGAAAACTTTTAGTTAAGAACAACTGCAAATTCCAGTTTCTCAAGCTCCTTCTCATCAACCTTCTGACTGATCTAAGTCATTATTACTCCACACAAACCTTGCTTGCACAGTGTGTGTACGCAGGCAGGCACACATAGAAGTCCACAACCAGCTCCTTAAGAAATTCAATTTAACTTCAAGACTGGCTAAACAGAATGTTGCAATGACCAATACTTAGACAATGACCTATAGATGCTAATGTAGAAAAGAATTCAGTTCATGATAATGATTGTGCTGAATTCTTGTAAGAACTTCTAGACACCAGACTGAAAAACCCCAACCATGGTAAAACTAAGAGAGTACCAATTAAGATCAAGTAAACAAATAATAAGGTGAAATGATGAAAAAAGTAAGTGTAAATTGTAACCTACACTAATGAGAGCTGAGGGAGTTGCTGCTAAACTGATTTATCTGTATATTCCTAAAATGTTTCATTAAGGCTTGGTCCAATCCACTGCCAAGGCCACAGAGCAAACCAAAAAGTGAACTTGTATTGCAGTAGGGTGTAATCAAGAACTTCACCAACCTTGTAACTTCTGGTTTTCTTTCTCCATTCTGAGGAGCAGTATCTGCTGAATAATGGCTTTCTTCCACAACTCGCGAAGCTCATGGGGTGTCCGTTTCCTTTCTTCTTTCACTGGCCCAAAGGGGCCATCTTCACACACTGGTTCCAATGGGGATCTCGGTGGAAGTTCTCCCAATTCAGAGTAATCTTTAAAAGAGAGAAGCTGTTGTGAACTACTTAGATTTCATGAATAAGTGAATGAAGGGAAACATTTTCAAAGATTGCATATATATACACACACATATCTACATGTATACACATACACACACACATATAGGAGGTAGCAATACCAAGCAAGGTTTCCCAAATTACAGTTTCAAGCAGATTTACAAGCTGCTTCTGAATAAGAATCATACGGGCCAAAGCCTGAAACATTTTTTTTCTATAACCTGATAAAAACATTGTACCACACACCCAGACCATGGCTAGCTAATTACAGCTTTACAAGGACAGAACTAAAAAGGAAAAGGCAAGTTTGAGAAATTGCAAAAATACAACTTACAGCTGAAACCTGGCATGACTCAAATAGCAGATCAAATCAAATATAGCACCCACATAATTTAAAGAATAATCTCTAAACTGTGTTTAAACAAAGAAAACACACACCCTTAGCTGCACAAACACACCACCACCTAAGGCCATACAATGAGATGATTACCAGTTCTTAAAGTAAACATGCAGAAAGGGAGACAGGCACGTAAGACATGTTTGCTCTCACTTCTAATTTTTAACCATGTCATAACCTTCTGCACTTTTTCTTTTGGCTTCAGCTAGTCTACCACAAAATGTATCTTTTTGTCAAGTATGCAAGGTAATTCTAAGAAGACTGAAAACACTACAAAGGAAAGTGAACATTAAATAAATCTCAGGCAAATTGAAAAAATCTTTTCTTTTTGGAGAAAGGGTAGACAACACTGTTTTTAAACAAGTTCTCAACATAAGAAGCATAAGTTCTTATACTTTGTTTTCTTAATGTCTGCTGCAGTATCACTTAATTTTATCATTTTATACAGGCTCAATAGTCTTTGATATAACCTGTATCTAGAAGAAAAATTACTCAATTCACCACCTTTAAAACGAATGGTCAAAACCACCCATCTCTTCCTACCAAATCACAAATGGAAAACCATCACAACAGCACTTCTCCTTCAGCCAAACAGAATAGCTGTGAAATGTCTCCCCGCGGACAAGCTGACCAGTTATGCACGTGAGAAAATGCTTTAAAATCAGTGCAACAAAAACCATTCCCTGGACTCTCCAGCCAAGAACAAGTACATCTGTGCATGCTATTTCAAACAGCTCCTGGAGAAGGGACACTCCTGAAACAATTATTCTGCATGGTAGCTCAGTAGTCCATTTCTTTATTATTGGCTAGCATAGTGATAAAGATTTTGAATTAAACACACACACACAAATTATATCATCTCTACAAACTAACAAAATAGCAAGGTTTTCACCCCTTCAGAATCTGCTCGGAAAGCTACCTATATTGACTCACACGGTTCATATGCAGCTATTCTTTTCTTGTTTGTTGAAAGGCACTCACACAACTAAGCTCAGATGACTAAATAAGAATGGAAACGTTCACAGCTGTTAGCTTCTGCTTTTCTAAGTTTTGCCACTGTCAATCTTTTCCTCTCAAAGAGTCAGAGACAAATAGGGTGGGTCCAAAACCACCTGTTTTCTTATACAACATTTATTTGTTTGTTACCACAGTTAAATTCAAGGGCTAAAATATACATATAAAAACAAATGCAACATTTTCAGCTAGCAGCGCAAACTAAACCTTCGCAAACTCTGGATATAAGTGTGGATACCCACACTTTGGGTATCTACTCCATTTCAGAGAACAACGAACACCCCGGGAAAGTGAATTAGGCAAAGGACAAATACATTACACTTTAATGGCAATCACCATTTGTTGCAAAGAGAAGTAGGAAACACTGAAGGAAGCATTCAAAAGTACATTTGGTTATGAAAAATATCAATATAATGAAAAAATTATATTATATCCCTTAAAAGAAACTGGGAAACATTAATTTAATTTTTTTCTTTACAGGTAAATGGAAAGACTTTGGTGGGCTAAGATCTGCAATTATAAAAGAGGTTTAGGTAAATGTCATCAGGTGAAGAAGGGACGTACACTTGATAATCCTCAACTTGTGCTGACAATTAAAGGAAAATTATTTTGATTGTTGCTTTTGGTATACACACTATACTGTCTACAATGTTCTGTACATATAGTAGCTTTCATGCCGATTTTTCTAGTGCATATTGAAGAACATTATAAGGGAAATGTTCTTAAGGATAATTCTGGTAGAACTGCCTTAATTTGCTTGAATAAAACAAATACCATCTTGAAGGAAAGTTTTTCACTTTCTCTAAGGCTGCGTTACATGCACAAAGTAACATCACCATAAGAAAGAGGAATTAATGAAAATGATCACCAAACATTAATGCAAAAATGAAAAATGATCCAGATAGGTATACCCTTATCCACTATCTGTATGCTATCTGTAGTCTATTCACTTCTTATTACATTCTTATAGCATCCAATATGGAATGCATATACAGCCTGAGGGAAACAAATCTCTTTTCACCTTACATATCCTCTCAGTGGTTTATGGATCTCCTTTAGAGTCAGGCATGTATTCTGGTTTTATGCATGTATATATGCATGTATGTGTTAGAAAATATCAGACTATCTACAGAGGCAGTTTATGGTTACCCACTTGCAAAAAAAAAGAGACTGCGAAAACACAATGCAAGGAAATGGATTAAACACATTGCATTCCTAAAGCAAGAACAACCTAAAATCTTCCTGTTTTTAACATGCACATTCTACTCTCTCAGTGCAAATTTTGCGGACTGGTCTTCAAGTACCAACTTAAGAAAATATCACCTTCTAATTTATTGGAGATGTTACTCACTTCTCATCCTCCAGTAATCAAACTTACTGTGGCAACACTTGAACCACTGCAAAGCATTGATTACTCAAGTCTATAGTCCTGCTTCCATTTAGGCTAAAAACTTCTTGTCTATTACTGACTAACCTGATAAGATCAGTATTCACTAAGAGAAATTTAACTCACAATGCTTAAGGCTATAAAAGAAAACAGAAAGGTTACAAAATTCTACAGGCTGAACAATTACGATTATCAACCCTACCTCTAATTCTTCTGCAGAAGAGTCCTACGCTTGATTTTGCCTTCCAAATGGCAGATCCTTTTCTATCCTTTCTTTCTTCTTACCTCTTGTAGACATTCAACAGAAAGTCTAAAGTCTACTCTGATAAAGTGCAACACATTCACAACCTGTCTTCCCTCCCATCTCCATGCTGGCATGTGGCAGGATGTATAGAAACCAAAATGAACCTGTTTAACTGCTCAGGTGCCTTGTCTAAAGTTTGCAGTGTTGCATCAGCTGTTTGGCTGGTAAAGGAGGTGGGGGAGGTGGAATGTGCAGGTAATCCCTCAAAGCAAAGCAAAAAACCAGACATGGTTTCTTACTAACCCATGTCCATGAATATACAACAAGGTGATTGACAGACATGCCATTCGGCTTCCAGATCCAAAACAGACAAGAGCAGAAATACTGTAACAAGAAATTGAGTATTTCATTATTATGCACAAACGATCTGGAAGACAGCAGAGAAAGCAAAGATAAATAGTAGAGCAATTCAACTGAACATAACTGGGAGCTCATGTTCCGCTGAATCAAACTGTCATGTGTTAAAATCCAAGTAATGCGCAGCCTTCAAAACTTTTATGAGATTAGTAAGTGCACTTAAGCAGGATCTGAACACTTCAGCACACACTGAAAGACTGCTTCCCTGTTCATCTGCCAATCTCGTCAGCTTTTGTTGACCCCTATTCCATGTTTGATCTGTACTCTTTTCAAATATGTTGTTTCCTTCCCTGCAGCTTCCATATAAAATTCTACCTCCATACCTGATACTTCTACAAGCCTACCACACTTCTACTCTTTAAGGTTCAGGATTGGGCAAGTTGACTCGGTAACTATTATTATATTTTATCAACACACAGGTTATCTTCTGTTTGAAGTTCATACTTGGACTACCCTTCAGACTTATTCTTCTGCGCAATACAATTCTACAAGTCTGTGGGTCCAAACCAAGTATTCTTGAGAAACAGTGTACTTAACTGGGAAAGCCACCAGCTTTCCTGTGAGAACTTGTGCAAGGTAATGAACTGCAGATGAAACTGCTCATGAAGCAGATGGAAATGTTGCATAAATGTACTAGTGCATCCATTCGTACCTCAAAAGCACTGCTCTGATGCTCCCACCACTTATACTACCCAAGAAAGGACAAGGCCAATAGGAACAATGGACTGAGATGGAATTTGTACAGCAGATCCAGTCATTTATACTTAGCTCTTCGGCTTCACGTGGCAGTGCTTCAATCCTAAGATGCAGAGTATCCCTACACTCCAAAAGGATCAACAAATGCATTACACAAAACTCTCATGTGCAAAGATGACACACAAAACAAAGTACAAAATATTACGAAGAAAGTGTCACGGTATATTGCTACCAGGGACCACACTAAAGAATGTTTGTAAATTAAAAGCTGGTGAATGACTGCAGTAGTAATTAAAACAGAAAATATTTGATGGGTAGTGATAGAAACAAGAAATTTCATTAGCTCCAGAAGAAGCTACAATGAATATAGAGCATTTGCTGGGACCTGTGGGAGGACATTAAAGTATTCCAACAGTGAGTTATTAAAATGTTGCCTTAAACCTTATTTTTTAGGAAATTTCATTTGTAATTGACTAGAAAAAAATTTAATTGATCAACAGTTTTTTATTCAATCAATCTCACTATTAAACAAGACTTTCCAAAAACAAGAAGAAAAAAAGGAAACCCACTAAGAGAAACCACACACACAAAGTAAAAAAACAATAGAAGTGGGACAAACCCACCTAAAAGCCTAAAGTTTAAAAACATTCTTTTACAAGCACTTAGTCTAACCAACCTCAAACACCAAAAACAAGATAACAAGATTCATCTTGGACTAGAAACTGCAATACTTCATGTAGAAAAGAAGGGTTTGTTTTATTTTTACAGGAAGCTAATAGGGAGGAGGCTCAAATATAATGCATTACCGCCATTCTCACTATGGA